ACTGAGGACTTCACAGGCGCAACCGTTACAAATTCTTGAGACCTGCGACAGAGTTGAAAAAATGCATGGCAGTATTTGCCATCAATGCAGTCAAGATCAGAGCGACAGTTCTTATTTACTCTGTTTGCCACTGACTCCTGGAATGGATAACGATAAACAAATTCACTATAAGTAAAGGTTTCATACTGCATGAAAATATGAAAACATTTGGGTATTCAGTCTATTATTGTATCTTACAATGAGCTGCCATGGTTTTTGTCTAAGAAACTTGAAATATTTAGAAACGGTTTGGCATCTTTAACTGCAGTGCATCAGTAAAAAGCATCGGGCAAAAATAACTCTTATTTGAAAATTCGATTACGATAATACATAAATTAGTTACCACATTCTGCAGGGAATTATGGTGTGGTTTAATAGTTATCTAGGAAGGATATATAATGTAGGACTTATTGACTTAATCTAATTAATGTGTCAAACACTTGTGGTAATATCTTCAAATGTCCTTTTTTACATTCAAGGTCTTGAGGTCCTTCTAGACTTAAATTGGATGCTGTTGACGTCAGTAGTTAATGTGTTTGGGGTGGGGGTGGGGATTATTTGCCTTTCTGATGCATCTCTGAAACCGAGATTCGGTTCCTATTTGCAATATATCCAAACACTTCGGAAACTTAATTCCCTAGGTCGTGTCAAAATCGCGACAAATGCGTACAAAAAGTATTACTTAAATTCCTATTAAAATTCCACAAAATGTCCATAAAATCCTCCAGATCAAGTCGAAAATGTTGAAATCGGCGAACATTTTGCAAAAGACCTAAAATCTCAGGATATATTGAATACTGGATTACACTTTTCAGAGCCGAACCGGTATATATACACTGAGGTTCATTTCTGATTGGGCGCCTTGGATTTCAAGATTTTATATTTTTCAACTTTTGTTTTGTATTTTATACTAGAAATACATACAGCATCCCCTCCACTATATTTTCCTCATTGATTTAACACGAAGCATTCGTAATTGTGAGTGACTGAACGCAGCTTCGTGTTGTGTGTGGCGTCGTGACAATACGATATTTTAAAATTTTTATGTATTTTTGTATCAAATGGCAAAATAGTTGAAAGATTTACAACAATGGATTTCCAAAATATATACTGTAGGTATGTTATTTTGCATTTTGTGAGCTTTGATTTAATGTAAAACTTAACCTCAACCGCTTCGTAAAATGTTTTGGAATGTTCATTCAAGTTATCTAATAATAACTTTTTCTTCAATTAAATAGAGTAAGATGTTTGTGATGTTACTCTGAGTGTATATCCACACCGGGCAAGCTTGAAAAATATGCCTGGCCACGGTGGGTATCGAACCTACGACCTTCGGAATACTAGCCCAATGCTCTACCAACTGCGCTACGCGGACAGGTCGGTTCGAGTATGTAATATTTCGGAACTGAGTCTATAGTTCCTTCGATATAGTGTAATGGCTAATAATCATGATATTTGCTATGTTGGTGTAATGTACTCAGGTGAATAAGATGCTTGTGATGTTACTCTGAGTGTATATCCACACCGGGCAGGCTTGAAAAATATGCCTGGCCACGGTGGGAATCGAACCTGAGTACATTACACCAACAGATAGCAAATATCATGATTATTAGATTACACTATATCGAAGGAACTAGACTCAGTTCCGAAATATCACATACTCGAACCGACCAGACCGCGTAGCTCAGTTGGCAGATCATTGGGCTAGTATTAGAAAGGTCGTAGGTTCGATTCCCACCGTGGCCAGGCATTTTTCAAGCCTGTCCAGTGTGGATACACTCAGAGTAACATCACCAGCATCTTATTCACCTGAGTACATTACACCAACATAGCAAATATCATAAATAGAGTAATTTAGAAAACTCATGATGCATTAATTCTCACAAAACCCTTATACAAGAATTGTGAAAACAAAACGTAATCTATATGAGCAATCCCGCGTAACGAAATAATTCGAACTTGCAACATGACCTGATGCGGTGAGTCGCTGATCGACAGCCTGGCGTCATATACATCTCATTATTTTGTTCAGTGACCTCTGTTGAAATTTTGCATGCTGTATTGTTTGCGAACGTCTTTTATAATTTTATTATACCAAAAATATAAGAAAAACTGTCATAAACTATCGAAGAAAATGACATTTTTGCGTTTTTAAAGAAAACGATATTACAAAATTGTTTTATAATTTGCTCATTGTTGATTCATGTTCAAAGTAAAATATTCGGCAAGATAAAAATAGAGGCCACCGTTCTTTTCTATATAGACAAAACAATAGGTTATTTTATAAAGATTTTCCTATACTCGTGTTCTTCTACAGCAACAAACCGATTGCGAGGAATACAACATTACAACTTTGTTCGAAACGTCGAAGTTCTGCTTGTATTTTTCAGGTAATTCCGCAATTGTCTCATATAATCTATGTTGTATCTCTATCTGTTGTATAATCTATGTTGTATCGCAATCCTTGCTTCGGACGGTCTGTGCCAGATTTGTATGTAGTGATGGTGATAAGAAAGCTGCGAATTACTAGGGGCATTTTCCATTTAATGGCCTGACCGGTCAGACCAGCATTTTTATCTCCGCATCAATGGGAAGATGTGGTCTATGTTTCTCGAATATCTAGCGAAAATGGACCTCATTCTAATTTTATCTAAATTTTGCGGTCAGAAAGATCCGAAGCCCAAACGTTTTGTGTCCCATTCAACAATTTGACCGTTCTGACCGGTCTGGCCGTGTTAATGGTAAGCGCCCTAGGATACAACCACCTGCAAAATACAAGCAGAACTTCGTCCAGAACTAAGTCCTTAAAGAAAAGCTTTACTTATAGAGGGGATATCCTAAGGAACGACATACCCGTCGAAATCACTAGAGCTCAATCTCTTGCTGCGTTTAAATCTAAAATTTCTTATTTTATTTTATCATATTTGTTTCTTTGCATATGTAGTCCGTAACTCTTAGTAAGATACCTATTTATTAGAAATTAGTTTACTAGCATCTATAGTACACATCTCCATTGAAGAGCACATATTTTAACTTGTGAAATGGATCTCGTGTTTTAAATAAAGATGTCAATCAATGAAAAAGCCCTTCGTCGGACGTTTGTAGTGTATTTTTCATGCAGGTGGTTGTATACCTCGCAATCTGGCGTGAATCAGCAGCTTTCTTTTTTCATTTTATAGTGCAGGGCTGGTGAGAACCAGGCAGGAATTTTTTTACTTGACCAAACACTTATGTAAATACGAATAAATCTTGCATTAAATAATGCTTAAACTTTCTAATTACCCATTTAATTATTTACCTGATGTCAGGGATTGTATGCCTTGGCTGCAAATGATATCATGCGAGCCAAGCGCAAGATACAATTGCTTGTGGGAGGAGTTGTATAAGTGAGCTTTAGTCGTAGTGAGTGACTGAGTGTATTATATGAGATTTTAATTCATGGGTTGTAATAAGCAACACAAGGACAGCAGATAGTAGTCCACTTCAGAAAATACGTATAGTAGTCCACTTCAGAAAACACGTTTTTGGATTTTTTAACCAAATCCCTCATTAGTTCCATTCACTTCACTTGTCATCAACCAGTGTGCGAATTAGTTGAGAAAAAACGATGTGCAATTTTTTCTCGAGAAAAATGTACCTCCAGGGTCATAAAATTGGTTCAGATTGATGTTACATCTAAATCTAGCCACTCAGAGTCACATTCAATCAAATACTCCATTAATTAAGCCAACTATTATATAGAGAATAATACATGCATGGTGCACGGAAATACCAGATTTATTTCGAGTGTTGAACATGATATCTCACGAGTGAACGCATTACCCATGTATTTTTCTGTTTATTATATAAAGGACAGTCTTTGAAAAGCGATAATTTTTACAGAAAAGCGATAATTGAAAAGCGATCATTTTCACATGTGAGATTATCATGAATAATCTCACATGTGAGATTATCACTTTTATCAGTGCTCGAAATCTCTATAAAGCACTATACTTTATATAATAAAATGCAGTAATCTAATATTTCTAATACATGCATTTAATATACATGTATATAAACAAGTTAAAATGTTAAATTCCTTGAGCTAGTCATTTTCTGACGACTCTTGATCCAAAAAATAGTCATGTCGGCGTGATGCGTCCGACGTCTCGACTTTCTTCTTCCGTTTCTCCGGATAAGCGTGACCTCCGAATCTGATCCTTCGTTTCTTTTGTCCATACCACCGCTCAATTGATAATTTAATGATGCAGAACATTTACATTCTGCAGGTGTTTCTCTCACCTCTAAAAAGGCATCTTTGCTGTGTTGAACACGTTTCATATTTCAGATGCGTTAATGCGATGCTGAAAAAGCACTTTATAAAAGCGGATTAATTGGCTTTACTTTCACTTTGTAAACATGAAACGTTTATCAATTTTTTTGCACATCGTTTGAAAAAGTGATGTGCAATTTTCTCTTTTTTGACCAAAGCGATGTGCAAATTGCACACCGTTAATTCGCACACTGTCATTAACATTATAATCTTACGCAGACGTTATTTCTCAAACTTCTGGTTGACCACTATATCATCGTGAGAAAAGTAGAAGGTAGATTTACGACTACGATTAGCGTAGCGTAAAAATAGGTACGCTGTGACGTACGTGCGTCTACTGGAATGGTAGCATCACAGACAAGTTGGTAGCATGAATATATTGCACTGTATACCATTGAATGGTAGTTGTGGTGGTGGTGGTGGTGGTGGTGGTGGTGGTGGTAGTAGTGGTGGTAGTAGTGGTGGTAGTAGTGGTGGTAGTAGTGGTAGTAGTAGTGGTGGTAGTAGTGGTGGTAGTAGTGGTGGTAGTAGTGGTAGTAGTGGTAGTAGTGGTAGTAGTAGTAGGAGTAGTAGTAGTAGTAGTAGTAGTAGTAGTAGTAGTAGTAGTAGTAGTAGTAGTAGTAGTAGTAGTAGTAGTAGTAGTAGTAGT